AGTTGTGTCTGCAAGCGGACTAAGATAAATACAAGCATGAAGCACATTTTTAATAATGTGGAAGGTTTTAAAACTACTCAGAAACAAAATGATGATGGGCAGATAAAGCAGAGTGTAATTAAGCAGCACCACGGCCTGAATGGCTACGATTCGTCGTTTTTCATCTGCTGGGACACGAAGCGCTCCAGAGAGAGATTTGATAGTCCCAACCAAGAAGAAGATGAACAACGGAAAGGGCAGGAGGAGAAAAACTGTGCAGATGATGACTTCTGGCAGACCAGGAGCCACATAAATCATTATCAGAAAAACAACAGGAAGTATCCAGACCAGACTGCAGACCACCACATATGTCTTGATGTTTCTCCTGAATCTGTACCACAGTGGCTTGGCAATGACCAGATACCTGTAGTAACAGATACAGATGTTTAGTCTCTGAAGATTATTAAGGGCAGATTGAAGTGAGAGACAGAAGAGAAACATGGAAACATACCTTTCACAAGAGATGCACACCATGAATCCAACACTGACCAATACAGCATAAAATGTGATGCGAAATAAATTTACTACTGATGACATCCTGCAGCAGAGCTGAATGAGATCAGAGACCAGCAGGTTGATGACATAGACTGGAGCATCTTGACCCTTTTTCACCTGTGAGAAAGTCAACAGAGAAAAAATGTTAATGACTAAAAATATTCTGGACATGTTGGATGTTTCCTGTTCCACTTATTTTAGTCATTTCTAAGGACAAGACAAACTTAAACCTGAGACAAGAGAGAAGCACAGTTTAAATATCAGGCTGAGAGTCAAATAAGTTATGAATAAATAAGTTACAATTATACTGAACTCACCTGGAAAACAACTGCAATCATCACTATAAGAATTAGAGGAAGTCCAATTCCAATGGTGATCCAATTCACCCATCGTCGGATTTGATCTAGCAAATGTTCATAATCGATGTCATTATTATAGCCATCATGAGTGTCGCTGTTGTTGAGGCTCATGTTGCTGTAATTGAAACTTTTCTCCTCAGATGTGTTAAAGTTAAACTCTTCAGTCCTTCAGTATTGAACCAGGAGTTTGATGACAGGAGTGACTGTAAACCAAAGAGACAAAGGTGTAAATAATTTTTAAACGTTTCAGTATAACATGTAATTCCTGACATTTTACCATCAGAATCTAAATGATATCAAATGATATTGGTAAAAGTGGACATATTTCTCAATTATCAAAGTTTATATGTTGTTCTTTGGGTTTTCCTTAACTGGGTCCAACATGGAAATATTCACTGTTCCAACCAGAGAAAGCCAAACATTCAGTGTTTTAAAGATTTACTTCTCTGTATTGACCAATGGACATGTTTCAATTCAGGTTCTAATGAACAACCCTGCATTAGCAAACATTTAACTGGAACAATTTAAATGTTAGAGTGAGACGGCAGTTTATATGTGTTTAATCTGAATGGTTTGTTATTTTGTTCATTTATGCTGATGCATCAGGTTTGGGGGTAAAAGTTATTTTTCACCCAGGATCAGTGGTGGGAAGTCATTTCTACGGACAAGACAAACTTACAAGTACTTCGTTACTTTACTTAAGTAGATTTAATAATGGCTACTTTCTAC